CCCTCGCATCCTGGACATAAATTGTTTCAATTCCTACCCTCAAAATGATGCTATAGAGCACTGCACAACAGAACAACTAGACAGAAGGACAGTTTTTCCCCAAATGCCATCAGTCTGTTTAACAACTAATACCCACAACACTGTCAAATAATTTACTAAGACTGTATTACTATTCTTCTTCTTTTTCTTCCTAGTATCTGTCTCTTCCAACTTATTACTAATAACCATGCTGCTTGAATCTTTCAATTTATAATATTTTTATTTGTTTCCTAGTATGATTTGGTAGCTTATTAGTAACCTTGACAATCACTAAGTGTTGTATCTTTTATTCTTGATGGATGAATGTATTCTATTCTCCTTCTGTACACTGAGAGCACATGCACCAAAGAGAAATTCCTTGTGTGTCCAACCACATTTGGCCAATAAAGAATTCTATTCTATTCTATTCTATTCTATTCTATTCTATTCTAATCACACTTGGCTAATAAAGAATTCTATTCTATTCTATTCTAATCACACTTGGCTAATAAAGAATTCTACTCTACTCTATCCTATCCTATCCTTATGATTCTTAATGAATGCATTCTATTTTATTTTTCTTTATGTACACTGAGAGCATATGGACCAAAGAGAAATTCCTTGTGTGTCCAATCACATTTGGCCAATAAAGAATTCTATTCTATTCTATTCTATTCTATTCTATTCTATTCTATTCACATCTGTAATTACTCTGCAAGTGTAGTCAAATTTTTGCTCTGTACAAAGAAAAGTGCACTCCTATTTATTGACAGAGCTTAAAGGAAGGGAGGATTTGAAGGCATTTTTAGCCAAATGTGGGGGAAATAACGAAACAAGAGTCGTTTGAGCCCCCTCCTCCCCCAATTCTCATTTTGGAATCAGACTTCAGCATATAAAATGAAGTGGGCTAAATATCTGTTTACTTAGAAGGCTAGGAGCTGAACTGTAAGACAGAGATACAGTTGGTCCTTGACTTACGACCACAACTGAGACCGGAACTTTGGTCGCTAAGTGAAGCAGTTGCTAAGTGAGCTGCGCCCCATTTTATGACCCTTTTATAAGCAAATCTCCAGGGTGGTGAAGCAAAACCAGCTCCTCCCATTGACGAGGGATAGGTACGTATTGCATAGCTGATCCACTGTTAAGATGGCATTAAGGACTGCATGCTAATACATTGCCTTCATTCCGAAGGAACTTCTCATACAAATCTTGTGAAATGTATTCATTCAGATGATAAAAAAAAGATTAAGGAAAACTACTTACTCGGGCAGCGTAGGATATTCCAGTCTCCAAGCTGGATTCACCCTTTGGTCCAAGATCTTTGCTCGGTTTAGACAAGAAGGCAGAGTCCCCCACAGCTAACAAGACACAGTTCTCTTGGGCGTTTGACTTGGACCTGAATGCCTTGCCTGGGTCTCCCTGGGAATAACCAGAAGACACGGAGCTGCTGAAGCTGGTTTCTGGCACGGTTGGGCCGCTTTGAACAGGGACGCATTCTGTGAGTTTCAACCTTGGCACCTCTTTCGCCCGTAAGCAGAAGTTCTTCAGGTTTGGTAAGGTGGAAGGGTTGGCCAGTTTGACGTTGGCCATGCGAGGTACCAAGGTGCACAAAGAAATGGAGCTGTCCGAGGTACCAACTGGGACATCTTCAGTGAGCGTGTTCGACGTAGGGGAAGGAGAAGCGGACGAGGCCTTCAGGCGAAGGAGATCGCTCGACGACGTGTCTTCCTCCAGCGAGGTGAGGGACTCATTTCTGAAACGACTATATTTAGTCCTGTGGAGCATTCCTGGTCGTCTTAAGGATTCTACATCCAGTAGTTGTGCACTCAAGCAAGAGAGAACGGGTTCTCTCATAGCCTGCGAAGTTTTGTAACTCAATCTCCTCGTCCGTCCGTCCGTCCGTCCCCCCCACCCTTAACCTAGCTGCCTTTTTATGAATGACCAAAAAAAATACGGAACCAGACAGATCAAAATAACTTTGAATAGAAAAAATAAGAAAACAGGATTCCTGGTGACTGTGGGCGCTCTTAAAACGTCTCCGGAATGCTTCTTCCTCTTCATAAACCCTGTTTCAGTTTGTCCGGTCATTCGATTGTTTGAAATTAAATCAGAGTGAAACACATACGAAGCCCAGATTCCCTCTGTTTAATCTCGACAGCTAGAATAACTTCAAGCAAGGCAAATTCCAAATTCTTCTTAGTTTTCCAACACTCCGTGCCATGATTCTGTGTAGGATTAATTGTTAAAGACCCGATTACCTTTAAAAAAAAAAATTAAGTATTTAGGACAACAAGACCCAACAAGAAATCTCTCTCTTGGAAAAACAACAGCAAGATATATTTTTTAAAGTAAGTAGCCTAAGTGGGTTGATTAACAAGGACTCGATCAGTTGAGGTGGGGGGGAAAAGCACTTCTCTGAAATTAAAAATAAAATCCGACAAAGGCAGCTTGAAGGAGAAGAAAACGTCGAGATTAATGTGTTCTATGAACACAACTCAGTTTCTGTCTGCAAAAGTAAAGCGTTGCTCGCCCTTAAAGACCCCCTCAGTAGCATAGTCACCCTCAAATACTCCGCAGAGATTGATATTCTGGCACAGGAGGACTTCGGATCTTCAGAACAATCATCAATGGAAACATTACAGAAAAGTCGGTCTCTCCATCATTCTCTGGAGCCGTCTCTTCTCTCTTTTTCCCATCTCCAGATTAGGCTGAACGATTCCTTTGAAATGTTACAGAAAGAACGTCGCCTATTCTCCTCCTCCTCCTCCTCCTCNCAAATGGCAGTCCAGTCTCTTCTTGAAAATCTCAAGTGGTGAAGCTCCCACAACTTTCAAAGGCAATTCCTGTTCCGTTGGTTGATTGTTCTCACTGTCAGAAAATTCCTCCTTGTTTCTAGGTTGAATCTCTCCTTGGTCAGTTTCCATCCATTATTCCTTGTTTGGCTTTTGGGGGGCTTTGGAGAATAGCTTGATCCCCTCCTCTCTGTGGCAGCCCTGCTATCCTGTCTCCCCTCGTCCTTCTCTTCACCCCATCCAACCCTTTCCAACATCAAACACTGCAATCTGCCCACCGAGATTGAAAGCCAGAATGCATTTCCATTACACCATTAAAACAGACCTGAAGCTTTCTCTGCTCCATGCTAATTTCTGAATACTCTTGGGCAGTAGCCAGTGCCGCTGCGAGAGCTTTCTTCTTTTGACAGGATTTGCATAGGCCAGGGGTAGGGCTGTAGGTTTTATGAAAGGCTTACTACCCATGATTAACCGAAGCATTGTTTTTCCTCATTGACCCAATTTAACGGGTTTGCATTATGCCCTGCTCAATGAACTGAAAGCACATGGCCTGCATTTGAATAATAGTTAGGCTAACCTAATATTCACTGGCTTGCATTCGGTGGGCTGCAGAAGTCTTCCTGTGTCTTTGGGTGTGCTTTTTTTAAAAGAATCATTTCCTCAACATAGTTAAAGAATTAGCTAGATACCGTACTTTCTTCATGCTGTTTCCACACATCATGTGCCAATTTTCTTACAAGGTAGTTCAGATAGGGTATCACACCAAATAAGAGAGCATCTAAATTATTGCTTATTTGTACTATTAAATGTTGTACCTTATGATTCGTGACGAATGTATCTTTTCTTTTATGTACACTGACAGCATATGCACCAAAGACAAATTCCTTGTGTGTCCCATCACACTTGGCTAATAAAGAATTCTATTCTATTCTATTCCATTCCACTCCACTCCATTCTGAATTTCTATTCTATTCTATCCCATCCCATCCTATTCTTATGATTCTTGATAAATGCATTCTATTTTATTTTTCTTTATATACACTAAGAGCATATGCACCAAAGGCAAATTCCTTGTCCAATCACACTTGGCCAATAAAGAATTCTATTCTATTCTATTCCATTCCACTCCACTCCATTCTGAATTTCTATTTTATTCTATTCCATCCCATCCTATTCTTATGATTCTTGATGAATGCATTCTATTTTATTTTTCTTTATATACACTGAGAGTATATGCACCAAAGACAAATTCCTTGTGTATCCCATCACACTTGGCTAATAAAGAATTCTATTCTATTCTATTCCATTCCACTCCACTCCATTCTGAATTTCTATTCTATTCTATTCCATCCCATCCTATTCTTATGATTCTTGATAAATGCATTCTATTTTATTTTTCTTTATATACACTAAGAGCATATGCACCAAAGGCAAATTCCTTGTCCAATCACACTTGGCCAATAAATAATTCTATTCTATTCTATTCTAGTCTAGTCTAGTCTAGTCTAGTCTAGTCTAG